GTCCCCAGCACAGGAGCAAGTGTGCTTCTCCGGGGCCCTGTCTGAGAAGCTGCAGAGCCCGGGGTCGGCCTGGGGAGGCTGCTGGCTCCCGCCTCTCATCCCCGGCTGCCATTTCGGCCCCCCTCCTCCAGGCAGGAGAGGCGCTGCCCTGCGGAGGCGATGCCATCTCTTGACCCCCAACCCGACAGAGGGATTTCGGGCTTCAGCACGGCCTGCGGGCCTTACCAAGCAGGTGGCGAAACGGGTTCTCACGGCACTTATGAGGAGAACCTGAGGCTCTGCCCAAGCAAGAATGGGGGTCTCCCTCCTCCCCTAGAAGACAGAGAGTCCTGTGACTGAGGCTTCCCTCACTCCTGGGCTGGGGGTTCTAGTGGGGCCAGAGCCGCCAGGAGCTAGCTCCCCGGGAGCTGGTGCCCCATGCGTGTACCCCTCTGGGCTGGCTTCACGCGGGTCCCCGTGGCACGGCACTCAGAGCACATGGCACCCCAGCACCTGCCACGACGGGGTGGGGCAGGGCTGGCTGAGCTCAAGAGAAGGCAGGAAGCAGAGAGCGTGGGCCTGAGGGCCCTGAGCTCCCTCCTCTCTCCTGAGACCTGGGGCTGGGTGTCCAAAGCCAGCCATCTGTAGCCACTCCCTATAGGAAAGGATGCCACTGGGGCCCCAAGGAGGCAGAGAGGGCGGCAAGGGGTGTCCTCTGCCGACTCAGTGACTGTGGAACTCCGGACAGCCTGGTCTTCTCCTGGCTGACACGGGGCCTACGGTAAGGATCCCACGCACTGTCTGGCCAGGACTCGGCGCCCGTGGCGAGCCGTGTGGTCACAGCTTCAGATGCTCAGGCCGTCAGGGCAGAGCAAGACCTCAGCTCCTCCTTGGAACCCAGACACCAGTCCTTCTCCAGTGATTTAGGGACCCCCTATTCCGGAGCCCCCCAAAGCCCCCGGGTCCCTGTGCTTGCGTGGCGGTGCTTGTGAGCCCACAGGCCTCTGTGCGTGCGGCCGGGGTGGGCCGGGAAGGGGCTTCACGCTACCTCCGCCCCAGTGTGCTGGTCTCTGCAGCCCAACAGCCCCCCGAATGGCGGCGGCAGACATGCAGGGACACACCCCCTGCTCCACTCAAGCACAGAAAACATTCATTAAGCATTTTAGAGGACAAGGGCACAAAGAAAAACACTCATTAGAAGCAGAAATAGTTTCCAAATGAGCCATACAGAATCTGCTGGAAAGTCTAGCCTGAAATGGGGCCTGTTCTCCTTAGGTTGTGGACGGGGGAGAATTGCCCAAACGGATGGAAAGTGGGGGCCCGAGAAGGGGATGCAGGAGGCGGCAGGAAGGCCCTTCCCTGAGTGTGAGAAGATCCCAAACAGGAGAGTCTGTGGGCGGCAGGGATGGAGACCGAGAGCCTGCTGTCCGGCTCACCTCAGGAGTGGCCCCCTGGCCAGAGTGGCCACCCGTCCTCCGGCCCCCAGCCAGGCTCAGGGCCATGCAACTACAGGGGTAACCGAGTTTAGGCCACTGGAGGCAGAGGCAAAGGGTCAGGGGGCCTGACCCCAGCCAGCTCCAGAGCTGACCAACGGGGCGGTCCTGGGTCTGGCCCTGCCCTCTCTGGGCCTCCATGTCTATCTAGGAAATGCAGTGGCTGAGCTCAGGGGAGCCGAGGGTCCTGGCAGCTGTGACACATGGAGGCTGGGGGGACGTGATGTGACAAAGGAGGTAGGTATCCTGGCCAGCAGCCCCGGCTTCTCAAGTCCCACGGCAAATCCCCCAAAGGCCCTGACCCAGCTGGGCAGATGACTTTGTGTGGAGCACACAGGTCATGACAATGACCTTATGAACCGCGGGGCTTCACTCCCCTGCCCTCTGCCTCCTCACTCCACTCGCCATCTTCATAAAATATTTACCAGCAGTGGAGAGCGGCAGGGTAGCTCTCTCCCTGGAAAACCAGGTCACTCCAAAACTTTTCAGTGTTGTGTTGGCTCCTGTCCCCTGCCTCTCCCTGATCGTCTGCTGACCTCCTGCCCCAGGTCAGATGCTCTCTCACCCCTGGTCCTGGGGCGGCCGGCCCTTCTCTGCCTGCTGAGGCTCTGTGCTGGGCTATGGAGAGACGAGGGGTGCAGATCCCTCCGTCAGGGACCTCATGGCTGGGCTGCAGAGGAAAACCAGGTCTGCGTGGTCATTAAGTGGCCTGGGGACAAGCGACATCCGTTTGGGATCCCAGAGGCTGTGCTGGCTGCTGGGTTGGCAGGGCAGTGGGTGTGGCAGTGGGGTTGCCCCTTGAACAAACTCTCCTTTACCCAGAAGCCCTCCTTCCTCTCCCTGCTCCCTCTCAAGAAGGCTCCCCCTGTCCCCCAGCCCCTCACAACCCTCTTGCCTTGAGGGGCGTGGCCAGCAGCTGGTGGCTTCAGGGGACCAGGCTGGCTTCCCGGGAGCCCGGGGGCAGGGTGGGTGCAGCCTGCTTCCTGAACTCCTGCCTCAGGCCCTGTCCTGACCCCTTCATCCCCTGTCCCCCTCATCCCCCGCTGCGCCCAATGCCTTTTCCTGGTAATTGGTGTCAGAGACAAACTTGGGCCGATTTCCATCTGGGCCAGAGTCTCGTGGCTTCTTTCCTGTTTTATATCAGAGAAATTAACCTGGCCACACTGTCATTACCCTGGTGTTGTCACTAGCACCGGAACAAATTCCCATGAGTGGTGCCGGCTGCCGCAGCGGCTGTCAGGCGCACGGGGTAGGCACCCCGCTAATTGCTTTGGCCTTTGCTCCTCAACCTGCTACTGCCCAGCCTGGGCTGGGGGGCAGGAGCCCTCACCCCTGTGTGCGCCCCCTCCTGTCACTGCTCACAGAAACAGGGGCGATGCTCTGGACTGACAACTCCCTGGGGCTGGGAAGAGAAAATAAAGGGGCCCAGGTCTGCCCTTAAGAGACCAGTTCCTGTGATACTTCCTTTGGGGAGAAGGGGTCCCCTGCCAGCTGGAAGTAACAGACCCAGAGGGACGAGAATCACCCCAAGTGTGTCTCTAGCATATAGTGGCCAGTACCAAAGCATGGGGGAGGGGAGGGCTGGGACAGCTGGCAACCTGCACCCCAACCCAGGGCCCCCAGTTCTCTCCTGGCCCCAGAAACCAGGCAAGAGGAGCCGAATCTGAGAGAGTGGAATCCAGCTTTGAGGGGTAATAAGCACACCCTACAGCAACCCACTGGTGTCTGATTTGAGGAAAGTAAATTTAGTGGGATTAGAAAGCCACAGGCCATGATGGGATGGGAGGAGACAGGGGGAGGTGTGGGTGTGGGAGGGCAGGCCTGGAGGACAGAGCACCCCTGGAAGAGCAGAGAGCGAGGTTGCAGGAAAAGCTGGCTGGCAGGAAGCCAGCTGGGGCGCTGCTGCAAAAGAGGGCAGTGGGCAGGCCGGGAATCAGACTCTGGAATGCGCGCCCACGAAGAGTTTCGATGGGACAGGAACCATAAAGAAAAACAGCCAAACCAGGCCCTGGGGCCTTTGGAAGCCCAGGAAGGAGCAGACTGGGCTGCAGGCTGCTCAGGGTGAAAATATTTTTTGGCAGCCAGAGTGTGACCCCAGGGACACAAGGACAGGCTCCCACTTCACCGGATCCCTGCGCGCAAGGTGGGAGCCCCTCACGCTACTCCCACAGCCAGGTCGAAGAGAAAACCTTTTGCGTTGACAAGACGAGGAGTATCATCCCATGACCATGTGGGGGGCCCTTTCACAAGAACGTGAGGCCAAGTGATCAGGAAACTGGTCCTTTCAGGCTGGCCTCCTGGGGAGACAAACCCCGGAAACTGACAACGGGGCAAGATGTCAGGGAAGCCCTGTCTTTGCAAATCAGCACATCCTCGGACAATCTCAGGCGTCATCCGCTAATGAACTTGCTGAACCACAGACTATTATTTCTGGAACTGAGGGAGATGGGCAAGGGCTTGGAGGCAGGGGCTGGGCTGAGCCTCTGCGTCCACACCGAGACGGCTCTGGGCCCCGCAGATGCCTTCCAGGCCACCTTCCCTGGGACCAGGGGCCCCTCTGCGCCCTCTGCTCCCTGAATGCACGCCGTGACACTGGGGGCTGTTTACTCTCGATAGACCCCTCCCAACCGCACTGCCAAGCCAGGGAGATCCTTCAGCCCCGGGGCCCTTGAACCGATGTGGATTCACAAAGTAGAATCATAGCGGGCAAGGTCAGAGGCAGCAAAGCCTGGGGAGAGGCAGAAGGAAGAAACTGGGGCACCCGGGCCCGGCCCCCGCTGGCTGGGGCCCACAGAGAGCAGCTGCGGATCAGAGGACAAGCTTTGCAGAGGGCCCAGGTCCAGCCCGACTGAAGGATCCCTCAGACCTTCCCGCTCACAGGGGAGCACCTCTCCTCAGCAGGATGACCACCGATGACCACTCAGCCAAGCTGTGCGCGAGCACCACGGACACGGAGCTGGCAGCCGGGCCACCCTAGGGGGGCTCCTCCAGCCCTTTCTCCATCCCACTGCAGGGCACACATCACAAATCAATGCCCGGACTCCTCCCTGCCGAGCCACGGGCTCCTCCTCTCCCAATAGCCATTCCGATCAACCCGACTGGCGCTGGCATGCCTGCAGAGCCGATCTTCCACAAGTGCCAACGACTGACTAACCCGCACGAAGAAATGGGCATGCAGCGCTCAGCCCACAGGCATTTTGCTGTCAGGGGCAGAGGGCTCGGCCTCCTTTCTGTCCTCATCAAGAGGAAACTGAGGCACCCCGGAAGCTCCTGGTGGGGCTTTGTTCTCCTGGGGCAGGAAGGGCTGCCCCTCCCACCCCCCAGGCTTTTCCCCGTCCTGGCACCTGACAGCGCACCGGGCTGGCCACACACCTGGCCTCCGCACCACACGCCGACGCCCCGAGGACAGCTCGCCGGGACGCCCCGGCCCCAGGCCGCCGCACGCAGGAGCCCCACGCCCGCACAGCTCCCTCCACAGACATTCCCCGGCACCGGAGACGGAAGAAGAACCCAGTCCCAGCCACCTACCTGAAGGAGCCAGTAGCACCTCCGGTGGAAGGTGGGGATGATGGAGGAATGGACATAGCAGCCGTACAAGCACTAGGGAGAGAGGAAAAACGAGAATTCAGTTGGAAAGAGGGAAGGAAGGGAGAGAGACGGCGCAACAGAGAAGGAACGAGAACGGGCCACGGACGCTGCTGGCACCCTGGGAGGCTGAGGGCGGGCGACTCTGGGCCTGGTTTCAGGGCCAGGACGGGGTCCGTATCTAAGAAGCACTCGTGGCCCAACACCGATGGACGGCTGGGGTGCTTTCCCTTTTGGGGGCCCTTAGAGGCATGTGAGAACCCAGAAAATCCCGGGCACCAGGACAATGCACATACGTATACATTTTGCCTATAATTTTAGGGGCTTGGAGTTACCCTTGAAGTTCATTCACAGAACCTAGGTTAAGACCCCTCGGTGTGTGGGGAGAGAATGAACCTATCTGGAATCGATTCAAACACGCACGCACGCACGCACCCACACACACACGCACGCACCCACGCACGCACGCACGCCACACTCCAGACCTTCCCTGGTCAAGGGCGTAGTGCCAGGCAACCCTGGCTGGCGGGACCTCTGAAGCTGGTGGGGGACAGGTGGGGGGCAACGCTTCTAGGACTGCCCTCCGGAGGCCGAGGGGCCCCTTGTGCACACCCCACTTGCTGGCTTTTAATTAGTTTGTTCATTCACATTTATATTTGTTGTAAGGTTAAAGCTGAATCTTTGGCAGATGGTTTTGGAGAATCAGGTGGGTGTGTGCGTCGGGGGCGTGGGGAGGCAGCAGGACGGGACACTTGGACCCGGTGCATGGAGCTTCCGGGTGTATGGTGCACACAGCACTGGACACTGTGGGGACAGGCTTGAAGGTAGAGGCGGGGAACGAGGACCGATGAGAACCGCCCTTCAGGTGCCTCTCAAAACCCAGCTCTGAGAGTCTCAGGGGAACAGGATGATGCCTTTTCTTTTGTGGCCTCGAATTCCAAACCAGAACACTGTCTTGCCATCTCCTGCAGTTTCCCTGGCTTCCCAAAGCACAGATTCCCGAATCGGTGGGGTAGAAAGTGAAGGCAGGGCCCTGGAGCCTCACAGGCCCAGGATGAGCAAGGTCTCCCCTTGACCCCTCAGTGCTCATTTGAACCTCACCACAGCACCATCCCCCTGCCCCCCGGCACTGGTGCTACAGGGAGAACCAGCCAGCAGCTCTGTATTTAAAACACCCCCCAAAAGACCGAGTGCGATCCAGTTCTACTAGGAGTCCGTTTGAGCCCTGCCCATCTGATTAGCAGAGTTGAAAGAGAAATCAGTTTGGACTATGGGATTCTGGTTGTAAGAAAATCAGATTTCCAATATGTTAGAACTTTTATAGATTGCTGTCAGCTGGGACTAAACCCTGTATAAACCAACCAAACAAAGCGGAAATTAATTTAAACGATTCTCTTGCAATTCTTGCCCACAAAGTATATTTATTATTAAGAAGCCAATATTCTTTCCTGACTTTTCTGGTTTTTAATACACTGCATTTTCACTTTTATTTCTGATAACTCACTCCTCTTTGCCAAAGGAGACCTCTGTTTGGACGTTTCCTGTGAGCACTTGTTTGCCACGAATGAGCAACCCACCTGCAACTTTAATCAGCACTTTTCCTTTGGAATTTGCATATTCTCATGGGCAGTTTCATTATTCTTACTCACGGAATGAGCCAAATGGAGACATAAATTGTTGAGAGAAGGACTCTCTCCTGTTTCTTTGAAATAAAAGGCTACACATCTGCTTTTTCCCACTGTTCATTCCTCTTGAGGGTTTGCAGACATCCCCCCTTCACCTGTCTCCCTCTCTTTCCACTGTCTTTTCTTGAACTTGAAAAGAACGTGGTTGATGGGCAACCCCGTCTACCCCCCTTGACTGCTGATCTGCCTGGGCTGGGCTGTAGTGTCTTTGAACCACACACGAGGACCCACTGGAATTTACCCAAAGCCTACTTCGTGCTCCTCCTGAGAGCCCACAGGAAGGAGACAGCATGCGCCCGCTCTCCCCTGAGCCACCCCAGCACCCATGGGCAGCCTCGCCTGTCCAGAACTGCCCAGTACCAGCCAATAAGCAGGATGATGGTAAAAGGAAACATCGCCATTTCTACAACAAGGCTCATGCATTTTAATCAGAGGAACGCGCGGGGCCTCACTCAGAACCCAGCTACTCTATTTTTAGATATGACTCTAACCACCCTGGTGATCCAATGTCTCTGGTCTCCACAGATGAGAAGCACGATCTAGGAAGGCTGGGGAGAGGAAAGCAGACCCCTGAGAGAGCGAACCATGTCAAATAGCATCCAGGGAGGAAGGAAAAGCCCCCAGAGAGCCCCAAGGACTCAAGGAGCCCAACGGCATTGACCCCCTTCCCATGTCTCCAAGCTCCCCATGACGCCATGTTGCCAAGCTCTGCATGAGCTCCCCATGATGCCGGGTCTCCTAGCTGCCTAGCTGCACTTCCAGGACTGGGAGCTCCCGGAGGCAGGGAGCCCCAGACCCCCTGAATGAAGATGGCCAACAACTGTCCTGCTGGACTCCACAGGAAAGTACAGGAAAGGACCCAAAGTCAGTAAATACTGCATTTTTGCTTGCGGTATTCCAAAGGCCCAGGACTTTAAACCACATGCTAGAAAAACATCCTGGAAAATGGCTCCAAATTTAGTGTTTACAGGGCTAAGCTTCAGTTTCAGGGAACTCTGAGTCATGTCGAGTAGCTGGTTTACAGTCCTTGTGGGGAAGGAAACTTCCAGTAACCCACCTTGGCAAGCTGGAGTCAGCAAAGAGGGGCTTCTGGAGAAACAGGTCCTGCCTGGCGTGAGGACCTGCTGGGAGGGAGGGTCCTTGTCCTTCTAGGCTGTGAAAAGGGCACCTTCCTCCTCCTGTCTCGTGGGTGGCTGTGGGGGTCAAGGGCTGATGCCCGAGTGGATGCCGGGAGCATCTCAGGGGACAGTGGGAGAGGGAGCCAGAGGGGCTGGGCGCTTCAAGATGAGCATGGTTGGCTGGGGGAAGAGTGGGGGAAGGAGTGTCAGTCCAGCAGCCGGAAAAACAGCTGGGGACAGGAGGAGAGACAGAAGCTGGGCTGAGGACGTGGGAGGGATTAGAGTATAACAGGCAAGGCGGGGCATGAGGACGGTCCAGGTCCGGGAGGTCGGGTCCGGTCACAACAGCCATGGGGGCCACAACAAGGAGCTTGACTTTGTTCTGGGACATCATGAACAGATCTGCCTTTTAGAAGCTCAGTGTGGCACAGCATGGCCTAGGGACAGAGTGGCAGAAGGTGAGGGGCCCAGGACCAGCCCTGTGAGCCCAGAGCCCCACTGGCCCTGGATGGCAGTGGCAACAGGACAGGTGTGGAGGGGTGACCACACTTGCCAGGTGTAAGGGCGTCTGCCCAGCCTCCTGGCTGCACGGACAGGTGTGTGTGTGTGTGTGTGTGTGTGTGTGTGTGTGTGTGTGTGTGAGGGCAGGGGATAAGTGGTCCCATGCCCAAGACAGGAGACCCCAGGGGAGCAGCAGCCTGGTGGGGGACAGGCTGATTTCACATTTCCACTTGGTGAGGTTGAGGAGCTCCTAAGATCTCCAAGCGGAGACACGGGTTAGAGTAAGGTGCAGAGGTCTGGTGCTCGGGCGGGGCTGGAAGCAACAATTGGGGATAGGGACGGTGTTGGGAGGCAACAGAGAAGCCCGGGAGGGGGTGTCCGTACAGGCTGGCTTCTCCAGCACAGAGCCAAGCCTTCAGGTGCACGGAGCAGGCGTGAACTTGACGGTACTCAGCTCGCGACTGGCCCGGCTTGCCCTGGGCCCCCGCACCCTGGCCCTCCCCACTTTTCTTGACGGCGCACCTCCCCAGCCAGCCCCACAGCCCTGATCCCAGACTCTCTCGCCAGGTCCCTTTGTGCCTGTGTCCTCGTACTGCAGCTCTTCGTCCACGACAATGTCCTCCCCAAGCCCCCTGGGGACTAACTGCACACGATTTCACGAGGCAGCCCTTCAAACCCATTCCTTCCCCTCCTACTAATCAAAAAAGCAATCAAGTTTGTCTGTACTGATCTGTGTTTGACAAACTCTTGGGGCTTTTTGATCAGGCCTGGGGCTCCCCTTGGGCCTCCGTGGGTTGAGTTTTCCGTTTGGGGGCCATGACGGGGTTGGAGGGAGAATCACTTCCCAGAGCAGGTGGCTACAGCTGTGTGTGTGTGTGTGTATGTGTGTGCGTGTGTCAGCGTGAGGTGTGTGTGCACAGGTGTTGGGGGTGTGCAGGAAAGCGTGCTGGGAGCCCCTTGTTTATGTGTGCATACAGCGAGAGAAAAAGAGAAAGCAACTAGCTATTTATAGGAAACTCAAGAGAACTTCACCCCTAGCTCGAAACAACTTTCAAATTCCGTTATATTTGCGGAATTAAGGTCTGAGGGCTTCCCTTGAATGTGACAGCTGAGCAGGGAGGAATTTTTCTCTTAAATACTCAAAATTGCTTTTCTGACACTATGGGATTTTTTTCCCCCTTCTTAAATAAAAAGGAAAGATGAATTTATAGGGACACCAATAGGAAACAGGAGCTCCCTTTAATTCAAAATACACGCTTCCTATAAAGAAAGGGCACACTGGCTGCAAATCTTCTCCAATGGATTTCACCCCAACGCACTCAGGTGTTGGGAGTCTCCCCTACATGCCAGACAGTATGACAGGCGTCAACACCCAATGGCCTCAGTCGGTGAAAGACGGGAGCACCTCTGGGTGCTGAGCAAAGCTTTGGTGGTTGGGGCCCTGGGACACTGTGGGACGCCCTCCTTTCTGTCCAGCTCTCAGTGGCTTTGTGTGACCAGCTGATTCCACCCCTCTCTCCCTCTCCTCCCCTCCTCCAGGAAAAGCTCAACCCTCTGTGGTCCCCTCCACTCTCCACTGGGGCTCCAGAACACGGATGCACTGTCCTCAGCCTGACCTCGTGCCTCTCATTCCCCTCACTCCCCCTCCTGCAGTCCCACTGCCTGTGCAAACCCCTCCCAGCCTGAGTGCCTCTAGGTTCTCCCTCCCCCA